GGGTCTCACTCTTGCTCAGGCTGGTCTCGGACTCCTGACCTTGAGCGATCCACCCACCTTGGCCACTGCGCCCGGCCTGGTTTTCTTTATTTATGACTGCAGATTTGCGACACCGTCTGTGTCTTTCCTTCTGCCAATATAGTTTTGCTCCCACGTTCCATGCGGTATTAGTGTCAAATATATTGTATTTCTATATATTATAGATCCAACAATACAGTTATATAAACATTGTTTTATGAAATGACCTTTAAAATCAGTTAAGAGATCAAGGAGAAAAATATACAACTATATCGCGTTTTGTAATCTCTCCGTAATTACCTTTACCGATGCTTTGTGTGCATGTGTCTGTGTGAGTGTGTGTTCACGTTACAGTCTGGAGTCACTTGCTTTCTGCCTGAATGTTTCTTGTCAAACAGGTGGGCTATCAACAAATTCACGTTTTGTTTATCTGGGAATATCTTTATTTTGCCTTCATAATATTAGAAATGAGGAACTGGCTCCTAGATAGCAAATATTTGGGGATAGAAAAAAAACCCCACTTATTTTGTGCCTGTTATGTGCCCGACACTACGCTAGCTCCTTTTCGTGTCAGTTTACTTAATCCTTAGAACACCTCTAAAGAGCGTTTTCTGTCAACCCTCTCTACAGATGAGGAATGGAAGTTTAGTTAGGTTAAATGTTAGACAACATCATCCAGTTCTGTCTCCAAAGCCCATCATACTGCCATGATGGAGACGGTGTCATATACATCACAAATAAACAAATAAATACCCATTTATCTTCAGTTTTGTGCTCCTATACTTCATAGGTACTAGAATAATTAGCATTACAATCATTATGTATGGGTAATTGTGCTTATTCAATGGAGTGAAGATGTAAGACCATCCTGGGCCCACAAAAATACAGATTACCGCTCTCAATGTGCACAGATGACATGCACCTCTCCTTATGTGTACAGATGGCATTCACCTGTCCCTATGCGCAAAGATGACAAGCAATTATCTTCAGGTGAACAGACACATGCAGCTTTCCTGTGTGCAGATGATACGTATCTGTCTTCATGTGTCACATGGCATGTACCTATCTTTGTGTGCACAAATGACATGTCTTAGCTCATAGGACGATGAAATCGACAGGTGGAAAAGTGCATTATAACAGACATTTACAGCATTTGCCAATTGTTCAAATTTGGCCTATGTCAGATTTTTCTCTTTCACACGCAGGACTCACTTATGAAATGTGGGGATATCCTAATTCAACCATTTAGCAACTTAGCTGTTACAATTCCAAATAATGCTTCCAAAGGTAAAGTTGGAAGTTTAAATTTTGCCTCCAAGGATGGAGATTATATTGCATGAGAAAGACCAAATCAGTCAGCCAGAGTGACGAAAGCTTCCATCAGAGTGACCACAGCGTGGTCTGCCGTTTGAAGAGGGTATCGATGGGTCTGTCTGCTCAGCACTCCTTTCTCCTCTGAGAAAAGGGTTGCCTCTGCCAACTCCTCCAGAGGAGCCACGGTAGGACATTGTGACCTGCTCCTGGCCATTCGATCACTCCAGGATGAGCACTTGACCCAGCTGGGCCAATCCTAGAGTCTCTGACCAGGACTTTTAGAACAGGGACTTAGAAAGAGAGTTGGCCTTTCTTTAGTGACTGACGCTGTGAACACTGAGGTTGTCAGTGGCCACGTGAAGAAAGTTAGTGTGCAGGCAGAAAGAATAATTACATCAACAGGCAGATAGACACACACAGACATAAAGACGTTTGAGTTCTTGGTTCTGACAGGACGTGGGTATTTTATAAAGAGTGCTGTTACATCTTTCCCCAAGTCCTTTTTCAATGCTAAGGCTAGTCAGGGATGGTTTTCACTTACTTCCAATCAAAAGAGCCCTAAGCCAATGCAGAATGACTCATAATCGTATTATAACAATAAATATCTGAGACTCAGACCTGTGATAGACATTTTCCCAGTTCTCAAAACATTACAGATATGGTCCAGATCTCCTGTCAAGCATGTTAATTTGGTATATTGATTTTCCAGAAACTTTTCAAATACACATTAATTTATTTAAGTTTGCATAGTAGACTTATATTGATCTGGCTTTCAAATAACAAAAGATTTCAAGTTACTAAATTTTTCCTCCACTCTATGGAAACAAATGAAATGATAAGATGGGATAACCAAGTAAACTACTCTATAAAACACCTTTTGGGACACAACATAGGGTCAGCGCGCAGTCTTTTACTGTGACAGCTTGGGTCCCTGTGCCTTGCAAGAAAGCAACATGGTGGACTTCTGAGTCTTCCCAAGCTCTCATTTCCTAACAGTGAGAGCAAACCTTTCTGAAGCTTCCCATCTCTTAGGGTAAGAGTCTGAACCCTTCTTGGGCCCATATGGCCCTGCCAATCTTACTGGTCTCCACTGGCCCTCTACTTCAGCCACTTTGGCCTTAAATTTCTACTATCACAGGACCTTTTGCCGAGACATCCCCCCTGACTGATATCACTTCATCTGTGCTGCCTAGCCAAATCCTACCCATCTTTCAGGTCTTCCCTGACCCAACACACCAGGTCTGGTTCCCTTCTTATAATCTCTCATGGCATCTTGTATTTCTTTCTCATAGTATCTATGAAAATGAGAATTGAAAAAATTGGGTAATTACCGAATGTCCGCCTCCCTGGCTCTAAGTGTAAGCTCCCCATGGGCAGGGACTGTGTTTTTCCTGTTCATTCCTGAATCCCTAGCACTTAGCCCACAGCTCGGCACACAGTTGGCACAAATACATATTTGTAAACTGAGTAGAAGAAAGAATTACGAGGTACGAGCTGAAGAGGAAATAAATACCCATCTCTTGAGCGTTTATTACTAGACCTGCTTTGTGTGGAAGGCCTGCCCAGACACAGAACGCTGGAACACCTTGGCAGAGCAGTGAGCAAACCGGAGGATAATTGAATATACCTGTATGTGGTTTTTTTCCCTGCAATTTTTAAGTGATTAGGGAATGTGCAGGGTAAAATTATGATTTTGTGAGCAAGAAAACATAATCCAATTTTGACAGTGCTAAAATCTTGATCAAAGAAATTTCAGCTCAGAATACTGACAAAGTCAAAGTCGAGAACATACTGGTTTTGATGACATGTTATTCTCTCAAGTGTGCATCTGTGGTTATTATTGTTCACTTTTAGCTGTAGCCCCTTTTAATTTTTATTTCTTGCTTTATCCCCTCCTACTGATTCCTCGAAACAGTCTTAGAAACAGTCTTATGGGGAGAGCTGGTTCCATGGGCGATGAAGAAACGTTTCCTCTTTTAAAGGCTCTATTTTTTGAATGTTAAGAATTGCCAAGGAGGAAGCGATCAAACCTCCCAGGCGTCCTCTGCCCTCCACCCAGCGCTGCTTCCCGGTTTTAACATGTTTTTGGGTCCTCCAGTGAGTTCTCTCAGGTACGTCAAACCGGGTTGCTATTCACTTTTTAGGGATCGCCCCTGCACCTGGAGGACGCCACAGGGAGTCGATTTGGGACATTCAAGTCATTTCACCCAACATCGAGCCACCGTCTGCAGCTTTCGCGAACGTGCCGCCGATTCCAATCCTACGCTGGACGAATATACCTTCGTTCGTTTTCAATGACAAAATCCGCGATGGCCTTCCCGGCCGCGGGGGTCCGCGACTTCGCTCCGGGCTGCACCGTCCGGGGACTCTGAGGGCCGCCGAGGACGAGGTGGAACCTGAACAGCAGCCGGTGATTCGAAACAGCCTCAGAAAATGCTGTTTTCCAAAGGCAGGTGCGGCCTTCACAAAGTGATGGCCCTTCCAGCCTCTGACTCGGACCAAACTTTTCTCGCCACGAGTCGCCCACAGCACCTGGCGACCCCGCCGGAGCAGCACGACGAGCGCGGGCGGGGCGGGGCAACCAGCCACCGCCAGCGCCCGCCACGCCCTCCACGCCCGCCAGCCCCGCCGCGCCGCGGCCGACGCCCCCGCCGCGCGCCCGCCACCACCCCCGCCCCCGCAGCCAGGCGGCCCACGATTGGCTGGCGGGGCTGCCCGTCACGAGGGAAGGCTGCACCGCCCATAGCCCCGCGCTCCCATTGGTAGTGGCGGCGGCGGCGGCGCGCGCGGTCCCGGCAAGGAGGGGAAGCCGGTGGCCGCGGCGGCGGAACGGGCGGAGGCTGCCGGTTTCGTAACCGTCGCTCCTCCTCGCTGGCTCGCGGGCTGCGAGGCCTGTGTCGGGTCGGGCCGCGCTGCGCGGGGCTGCTCGGAGTGGAGGCCGCCTGGGGGCGGGCGGGCCGGCGGCGCAGGTAAGGAGGCCACGGGCGGGCGCTGGGAGGGAGGAGGAGGCCGCGGCGGAGCCGGCCGCTCGCGTGGGCGCGGGCCCGGCGTGAGAAGACTCGGCCCGGTCCGAGGCGGGCGGCCGGCCGGCCGGGAAGGCCCCTCGAGGCGCAGGCGGCGGCCCCGCGCGGCGTCTGATGCAACCTGCCGGCAACACCCGGCGGGGCCGCTGAGCTCATCCCTGGCCGCGGCCCAGCGTCGCGGCGCCGCCCGCCGACCCCCGCTCCCCCCGGCGGCCCTGGCTGCCGGCCCGGAGCGCGGCGGACGGGGGGACGGGCTGGGGGGCGAGGCGTGCTCCCTCCGGAACCCGGTGCTCTGTTTGCGAAACGTGCCCTGTGACAAGCCAGGCTCGTATTGGCCCCTGGGGATGAAGGGTGTCCCCAGAATAGCAGAAAGTGGACGGTGTCTTTAGTGCCACGGAAAGTATTTCTTGCCTCTCTCAGACGGCTCAGTCTGCGGTGGTCGAGAATTTTGTCCAGAAGCTAGTAAAGCGTCAGTGAGGGAAAACAGTTGATTTTTAAGTGCATAACTTTACCAAAGAATCTTTTGCTTATTTACGGGGATATCTGAATGTCCTGCAGTTCACTGTTCACATAGTTTAGATGAACGTGCAACAACCACGAGTTGAATAGAAAGAGAAGTGCAAGAAATGAAGCACTTGGTTAGTGTGGTTAGAGGGAAGGCAGCAAGGAAAACAGCCTACAGAGGTGTCTGGGTGCAGAGGATGGAAATGCACGTATAGGGGAAGGATAGTATGTTCTTCCATGCAAGCCTATACGTGGCTGTTGTTTGGAAGGTTTAAGCGTTTGGTTTTCCTCTTGTTTGAGGTTTATACTGTAATTTGGTATCTTTGAATGTGTCGGTTTTAGAAAGGTTTTAACTTTGGTGGAGGACACAAAAATTGGTAGTTCTGCCTCCAAACCTACACTCAGTTGAATTCTTATTTGAATAGATGGTCATTTAACGCAGAAACCTCTCTCCCAAGGAAATGTGACTCCCAAGGAAAATTTTGAAATAAAATACTGTAGGGTTTGCTTTACTAAGAAATTCTGCATCCAGAAGTGCTTGATGTTTTAGGTTAAGATCTGGTCAGCTATTACCACTTGAGTAGTATTTGAGATAAACTATTCCTAAGATTGATTCTCTTTCTGGAAAAACTGTAAACAAGTCTAAATAATTACAGGATGCTAGTGAGCTGAAGCAGGTTTCAATTTCTTGATTCCTGCTTCTGGTGGGCACACTTGGCTGGTTCAGTTATTTTTAATTAATAACACCTGCCTTAAATAGGTGGAAACAAAAAAATTTTTTTTTTTTCCAGAATATCCTTTAAATTCTCAAGAGCACATCATGACTGTCTGCAAGGTGTTCTGATCTTGGAGAGGTGGCTTCATCCCTGGGGAATTAAACATCCCATGGTGAGCCCCTAGTAAAGACGAGTAGGACCTCATGGGGCTGAATTTGGTCTTATGGTCTGCGATTGCCTCACCTGGTCACAGTAATGGTAAATACAGGTAGCCGCAGTTGGTCTTATGGTCTGCGATTGCCTCACCTGGTCACAATAATGGTAAATACAGGAGCCACAGTTCCAGGTTGATTGTGTATTCTTTGGAGGAGTGGTTCAGTGGGTTCTTATATTGGTAGGTATACTGGTCTCCTGCCTTTTTGGCTTCCTGGCCCCATCAGTAAAAAAAAAAAAAAAAAAAAAAATTAGCATGAGCTCCTAATAGATGTATATTTACAAACAATGTGTTCGTTTTGTGTGTTGTAAATCACACCAAAAGTAGATTAGAAAGATGACATTAAAAAAGACAAACACACATTTTCTTCTCATACCCCGGCGGACCACTTGTGTGCTACTCCCTAAGGTGGGTACATCCCGCTTCAGGGACCCTGCACTAGGTGCTGGCATGTGAAGGTGAACAGAGTCCTGCCTCTGGCTTAGTCCACAGGGAGGCACACTGTAGAGCTGAAGTTGACAAACTGGGGGAACCAACTGTACTGGAGCACCAAGAAAAGAGAAAGCACAGACCACTGAGGAGACTAACAGTGGTTTAGTGTTGCTGAGGGGTGAAGGATGAGGGGGCAGGCGCTGGAGAGGGCAGGACCTTGGATCTGATCCTGTAGACCGACTGGTGCCAGGGATGGAGGGTGTGACACTCGATGTGAGTGTTACTTTGCTCTAGAGACAGTGATGGGAGGAACCCAGAGACTAGTGCCCTGAGAGCTGTCAGGCCGAGGTAATTTCTGTGGCATCGGGTTGGAGAGAAATGGTAGATGTGAGATTTTTTTCTTCTGTTTTTTTGGTGGCTTTAGGCAGAATTGTCAGATCGCAATGATCAGATTTGGGGCAAGGGAGAAACATCTACGAATATTTTTAAGTGTTGACCTTCACTGAGGAAATTGAGTGAAAAATTTATTTTGGAGGGCAAGGGGAGGACTATCTGGTTCTAGGTATTGGCGGGGGGTGGGGTGACAAAAGGGTTAGGATAATTCTTGTCAGGTTTGTTTTCCCAAGTGAAACTCGAGAAAAATTTGATTTTGTTTTACTCATTCTAACATTCTGGGCTTTCGGTGATTTGAATAGACATTACTTGAATTAAGAAGTTTGAATTTTAAAAAACCTGTTACCCATTTAGTCCAGTGTTTTTAAGATCCATCGTTAATCTACAGCAGTGACCCTCAGACTTCAGTGTCAGAATGACTTGGAGGTCCCCTTACAACAGGATTGCTCAGTCCCGTTCCTAGATGATTTGGGTCTGGGGCCACCTGAGAATGTGCACTTCTAAAACGTTCCCAAACGATGGTGATGTGCATCCAGGCACCACGCTTTGGGAACTGCTGCTCTGCAGTTTCCTACCGTTTCCTGCTTGAATGATTCACATGCAGGGAAACGAGGCGCCACCTGCTTCCTGTAGACTGACCTTCGCAATGGTGTTTGTCCCCACAGGAGCCAGACTTCCATTTAGGGTTGAGTATCCACACTTGAAATAAACTCATTTTTTTGCCTGTTGTAGGTGTCAATAAATGTTTGTGGAAGGAGCAAAACCATGAATGAGAGTGTCTTTTTTCAGTTTAAAAACAAAATTGATACTGTTTGAAGTTAAGCCTTTTAGACTACTTAGCTCTTTGATTCCCTTAACTTGATTAATTTTCTCTTCACTTTAAGAGCTACTTTTTTGGCTTGTATAGCATTGAAGAAAATTTTTTTTTTTTTTAACTTTCTTGGAGTTATTTTTACTATCTCTAAGTTTCTTTTTCTTAAATTTTTTACCAGTTTGTAGGTTCAGTGAATATACTCTTGTTTTTTAAGCCAAAGGGCTCACTTTCAAAACCTTGCCTGCTGTGTTCAGCCTAGTACCTTGGCAAGGTGAGTCAGACTGCGGTAAAAGAGCCCTTCCCTATTCCTATACCTTTGGGTACAGAAACGGGCACGTACATCTCTGAACTTAGAGCCTGTGAGGAATAAGAGTTCTTAGTGACTGAAGGTCATGGTCACTGTCAGTTGGAAGGTCTCTTGCCATTCCACATCCTTCATTTGCAGATGGGGAAGTCAAGGCCACCGAAGAGAAGGGATTGGCCCAAACTGAAATAGGAGCAGCCAGAGCCCAGGCAGGAATGGTCCTGGGTCCAAGTCTGTGCTGCTTTGGTCACTGCTGTCTCTGAGCATGACCAAGCTGACTATAGAAATTAGCTTTGAAGACTAAAAATACAATTGGTATCTGAAAAATAAAAAGATAAATAAGATGAACATGACCATGATTGTTAAGGACAATCCCAGGAGAGGTGTTAAATTAAACAAGTTCTTAAATATTGAGTAAAACGCTTACATTCACTTTACACTGAGTAGATAAGCACTAGTGTGAGGTGGCAGTGAGGGTGGCTCAAATTCATACTGAACAGCCACTTTTTTTTTTCTCTACTGTTTTTTAGAATTTTTATTTCATTTTATTGAAAAAGAGAATCATTGTCTACAAACTATTTTCTTTCTAATTGTGCAAATACAATGAGCAAATCATCTGCAGTTTCAAAATACTGTTCGTAAATCACTGATGGCACCAGTAATTTTAGGAATTTCCAATAGAACAAATATTGAGAAAAAGAAACAGTAGATTTCAAATTATAGGCATTAATTGAATTTTAAGAGTAGAAAATAAAATTAAAAATTTAAAACTCAGTTTTAAAGTGTAAAGTTCTCTGATTTTCAGTAGTTTAAATCCAATCATCAGGCATTTAGGAGCACCCAGTATGTTCAAAGTTGCACAAATGTATATGGATGATAGGAAAGTAATAATCCCCATGCAATATTTTAAGTGTTGCTATCAGATATCTTTAAGTGATATTTTACAGATTAAAGCTGGGTAAAATCAAAATATATCCTCCCTTTACATTTTAAAACAATCACAGTAATTTACCAACAGTTACCATTTCACAGCAATTAGAAAACAGGAGTTAATACAAGTTGAACAAAGAAGTACTTTTCCTCTTTTAGGAAATAAACATAGGTATATACGTGTGTGTGTGTGTGTGTGTGTGTGTGTACTCACACAACATTATCTTCAAAATTCACAGTGGTTAATTTACTTTTGTATTATAAAAAAATTATCTCCCTATGGTCAAAATACTGAAAAAGCACAAAGGCTGAAAAAAGAAAACCACATTTGCCACTTTAAAAAAATACATTATTGTCTCAGTGGTTCTATTTATTTAATTGATTATAAAGTTAGGTATTATTAGGACTCAGACTCCTAGGATTGTACTGGATCAGATGGAATTAAATATGCCCCTTTCTCCGTGTCCAGAAAAGATGCTCCTAAGCCACCCTAAAAGATGATAAAATAAATGCTGGTATTCTGAACTGTTATACTGGGAAAGAAAACATGCCCACCTGGAAGGAATAAAAATCATAAAAGTTTATGAATCTATGGGAGAGCCTGCGTGAATCAGAAAGCAGTTCTTTGGATATAAGTTA